TGGGGACCTCGTGAGAGAGAACAGCCAGCAGCCCCTCACAGCCACCTTTTGGGATGGGGCTTGAGCCACTCTGTCCTGGGCTGTCCCGTGCTCGGCCATTGCCCAGTTAATGCTCTTTGGGCCTAATACCCAGGGGCTGACAGGATCCCCTTGAGGCTCCCCAAGGGGTAGCCCATGAGATCTGGGGTCCAGGGAGCCCTGGACAGTCACTCACAAAAGTGAGCTGGGCTGGGTGGCTGCAGGCAGGAGATGTCCTGGCAGCTACCAGGAGGGAGACCTGCAGGCTGGGGGACCCGGCCTGGGCTGAGGTGCAGAAGTACATGCCCCTCGTGGGATGCCACCCTGCATCACAGTCTGGGGCCAGTGGGCACGTGTTTGTGGAGAGCTCCCGGCCCACTCTGACACAGGCTCTTGGTGAGGGAATGCCCTGGACGAGGCGGTAGATCCCTCTGAGGCATGCCCAGGTGCAGCTACCATGGAGCCATGATCTGTCTCCCCCACAGGAATATCTAAGATGTGGATAGCCTGTCCTCTGACCCCTCCAGTGACCATGTCATCGTGGAGCACATCCTGGCCTCGGTGAGTCTGGGTGGGCCCTCTGGGGGTGATGGTAGGTAAACCAGGACATCAGCAGGAGCAGCGTACAGGGACATCAGACAGTGGGGGTGGCACCAGTCGGGGAGGTGGGGGCCTCCAGCCAGGTGCTGTCCATGTCAGAGGGGGCTCTGTGATGTCATGGCCTCATGCCTCACGTGGAGTGGGAGCAGTTTCCTTCCATGGTCAGCGCAGGGGGCTGTGGGTCCCGGGGTCAGACGTCATGGGGCCTCAGAGTAGACAATCTCCAGGGTCTGGCTTGACCCTTGGGAAGCCCAGCCCCCCAGCTGACCCAAGCTCTGACCTTGGGTTTCCAGGCTCACGGGGGTTTCTGGGCTCACGAGGGGTCCTCAGGATTCCGAGGCAGAGTTGGTTCCCTAATTCCATCCTTGCAGGGCCCGGTGTGTGTCCTGCTGGTCTCAGTGGGCCCACGTGGCCGGGGGGCAGTTAGGGAGCCCCAGCTCCACAGGACTCACTCCCGTCCACTTGCAGGCCCAGGCCCTTGCCCCCCCATCCTCTGGGAATTCTTAGGGAGCTGCCCTGTTGTGACTGGGAATGTGCGAGGGTGCCCAGCCCATCCTGTGGAAGGTGCCTCCTGTGTCTGTCCATCCCATGTGTGTGTGTCCACGTGTCTCCGTTCTGGGCACCTATCCCTGTCTCTTCCTCCAGGGTTCTGAGGAGCCCACACCCCACAGGGACAAGTTGGGAGTCTGTGTCATTCACGGCCGGGGGCTGTGGGTCCCGGGGTCAGATGTCATGGGGCCTAGCGCAGGGGGCTGTGGGTCCCGGGGTCAGATGTCATGGGGCCTAGCGCAGGGGGCTGTGGGTCCCGGGGTCAGATGTCATGGGGCCTAGCGCAGGGGGCTGTGGGTCCCGGGGTCAGATGTCATGGGGCCTAGCGCAGGGGGCTGTGGGTCCCGGGGTCAGATGTCATGGGGCCTAGCGCAGGGGGCTGTGGGTCCCGGGGTCAGATGTCATGGGGCCTAGCGCAGGGGGCTGTGGGTCCCGGGGTCAGACGTCATGGGGCCTCAGAGTAGACAATCTCCAGGGTCTGGCTTGACCCTTGGGAAGCCCAGCCCCCCAGCTGACCCAAGCTCTGACCTCGGGTTTCCAGGCTCACGGGAGTTTCTGGGCTCACGAGGGGTCCTCAGGATTCCGAGGCAGTTGGTTCCGTAATTCCATCCTTGCAGGGCCCGGTGTGTGTCCTGCTGGTCTCAGTGGGCCCACGTGGCTGGGGGGCAGTTAGGGAGCCCCAGCTCCACAGGACTCACTCCCGTCCACTTGCAGGCCCAGGCCCTTGCCCCCCCATCCTCTGGGAATTCTTAGGGAGCTGCCCTGTTGTGACTGGGAATGTGCGAGGGTGCCCAGCCCATCCTGTGGAAGGTGCCTCCTGTGTCTGTCCATCCCATGTGTGTGTGTCCACGTGTCTCCGTTCTGGGCACCTATCCCTGTCTCTTCCTCCAGGGTTCTGAGGAGCCCACACCCCACAGGGACAAGTTGGGAGTCTGTGTCATTCACGGCCCCGTCCTGTTTCCACGGCCAGCAGTTCCATGGCTGGGTGGAACCGGCTGCCTCCACACAGGCTGCTCTGGAGGGAACCCCGGCCCTGCCCTGCCCTGCATGCCTGTGGAGCCAAGCACAGGTAGAGGGGCACAGTGGCCTCACAGGAGGGTGGCCTGGGGTCCACGCACCCCAAGTTGTGATGCGTGTTCCTGCTATGCTGGCCATGGGGGCCTCCTGTCATGTGGGGATGCCTTGGGTTGGGAGTGTCTTGTTTTCTTGTTCGAGGAGGGACAAACTCCACCCCCGTGGTTGTCATCGTGATGGCTTCACCTGCCGCGCACTCCAGGTGGGGCCTGGGGAGCAGGCATGGATAGAGTCAGAGCTGTCTGGGGCATGTCCCTGTGGGAATGTCCAGGCCATTAAAGCTCATCTTGGGGCAAAACCATGTGAGCACCATCCCCTCCATCCCCGGGACGCTGCCGCCCCACCCCTTCCCGCCACAGCCCCACTTTCTGCGAGCCTTGGCTTCTGGGGACGTGGACCCCCGTGGCTGGGAGCGCCAGGGGAGGAGGGCCCGCTACGAGCGTGCTGGACCTGGGCTGCGTCCTGATGCCTGTGAAACGCTTAGCTGGCCTTCTACATCCAGGCCTCCCCCAACACAGCATGGTGGTGTCTCTGTGCAGGTAACACTGCTGCTGTGTCCCCAGGCAGCATCACCATCTGCTGTTACTGTTTGTGAAATGTTGACGGCCTCGTAAACGGACCCGAGTCCACGTGGCATGTCATGTTTGTGTCCCTGGGCTGTGGCTGAAAGAGCTGTGCTCCTGACTGAAAATCCTTATTCTTTATTTGAAAATACAAACGTGATCACATACAACATTCGTAAGCTGCTATACACAGCAAATGAAGGTTACCTTTACATACTTCTGTACATTTATGTAAAAACATCCCAGTGAAGGTGCTGCAGGGTTCCCTGCCCATGCCCTGCACGTGGGAGATGCGGGTGTGGCCAGCTGGGCCCGTCCAGTGCTCGTGGAATGTTCGTGACGACCCCAGGAGAGTGTGGTGTGCACCTAGTGCCGAGGAGCAAGCATGTGGCAGAGGACATCACTGTGGCCCTCTCCAGAGCAGCCAGATCCTGGGGTGACCTGCCGGCCAGGATGGGTAAGTCAACACCTCCACTCCAAAAGCTGAAGTGTGGGTAGGGCCCAGTGTGTTAGCACAGGAGCCTGTCCCAATTTACAAGGGACCCTGGGGCTGACGTGCCAGACGGCAGAGTTCTTGAGCCAGCATCGGCCCCTCAAGGTCAGGTAGGAATCAATCTGCTCCATCAATGACATCTGTGACTAGCGTTGTGTGAATAAATAAAAATTTATCATTTCGTACAAATGCACTTCATCTTCCACAAAAGACAGCTCAATTATTAAACGGTTTTGTTTTTTACACCAAAACTGGCGCATCTCAGCGGATCACCCTGGTGTGTAGCATGGGCCACTGCACACGATCCCTGGGTGCATCACAAAGTCTGCAGGTCCTCGTCCCTACAGGCATACTCGTACAGGTCTACAGCACCCAGGGGGGATGGTGCCTCGAAGAAGGGCCTCTGCAACAGTGGGGACCGCAATGTGCTCAGCTTCTGGTCCACGGGGCTGAGCTCTGTGTCGAATCTGCAAGGAGAGGCGTGATGAGGGGACAGCAGGCAGGACAGGGAAGGGCCCCTGGATGCACTCACAGCGTGGGGCCCTTTCCTGAGTTGGATATGTATGTTCATGCCCCCCACGGGATGGCACCAGTCTTCCTTGAGATGCATTGATGCACTGTGCCACTGTGAAGCCACCTGTGTGGACGCTCAGTGGTGGGGCAGCCTCCCTGAGGATCACCAGCAGAAGGAGCCCACCCTTGGGGTCACATGGGATGGGGTGCTACCCCAGGGTCGGCACAACTGTACACTCAGCATCTCTCTGCAGTGGTGGCGACTGGGTGACTCTGTCCTGCAAAGCTTAATGATGGTGCTTCTTTCAGAGCAAACCTCCAAACTGTAAGTGTGTGTGGCCTGTTTTAAAACTGGACTGGTCTGTCCACACGTGGCCAATCAGACGGTGAGAGCCCATGTGACAGTGAAGATGCTGTTCATAAAAAGTAAGACTCAACTTGGTTTAGACCAAGTCTTTCAAGACATAAATGCAGGCTGCCCAGGTGATGCCATGACAGTTTGAACAGAATCCTCACCCTGAAGGGACGGTAACACCTCCTTTCTATTATGGGTGATGACAAGTACTTCCTGCGTCTCTACACTGGAAATGTCCTGACGTCTCTCGGAAACTAGTGAAGATGCCAACCCTCCAAAGCCCTCCTCCAGGGCTCCTGCCCTGCCCAGTGCCCGGCTTCCCCAGTGGGCTCGAGCCGTACCGTGAAGGAGCAGAAGTGAACTTGGGCAGGGCAGCCACACGGTGACCAGGGCATGGTGACCATGAACTGCACGCTTTGGACTCAAAGCCAATCATCACCATAGGCAGGGGGACACGGTGGCTGGGCAGGGGACAAGGGGCCTCGTCAGGAGGGGAGAGACATGCGGTGGAGAAGAACTTGGGGTGGGCATGGCCACGAGGTGGGGGTCGATACAACAGGGCAGGTCTGGTGGCTACAGCTGCTCTACAAGGTGCAGCAGGGTGAAGGAGACAGGAAAGGTGCAGGGAGTGGGGACCTAAGAGGCAGAGTGGGGACAGGCACAGCCATCAGGGGACAGACAGCCCAGGAAGGCCGCGTGCCCAGTGTGTGTGCATGGGGCGGGGTTAAAACGTGCCTCTGGGACACCTGTGCGTCTGAGCAATCAGAGGGTAACTGGAAGGTATCCTGAGCTGAACACAAGTGAAAACACAAGGTCACCCACGGTGCTGACTAGCACAGAGCACTTGGTGCCCGCTCAGGAGAAATGTCTCCAAGCAGTGACCTCAGCCTCTCCCCAAAGAAACTGGAGAAGGTGAGCGGCCGAAAGGAAGGTCACACAGACACCGACAGGACAGGAAACCCAACAGCAGAGCAGAGGGATGGCACTGCTGGTGCTGTGACAAGATCTAGAATTGATACCCTCCCGGCCATACCAATGCAGAAACAGATAAAAGATAAATCAATATGAGGACCACGGGAGGTGGTGATTGGTGTGGATTCTGTAGATATTAACCCTAAAATCCGGGACTACCATGGCCAATAACACACTTAGATGAACAGAAGACACAAACCACTCAAGAAGGAAGGGATAACCTAGCCCAGGGTCTGAACTTCTCACAGAAAGACCTCCAGTCCCAGAGGACAAATTCCAAACGGGTGTCTAAGATTCTAGAAAATGCCAGCTCACCTACAGGTCTGCGGGGAGTAGGGAAGGAGACCTTCAGGGTGATGGAGGCACGTGTTATCCCACTGTGGGGGAGGCCTCCTGGACGCAAATGTATGCTTGAAACGCACAGTTAATAAAGATGGTAAATAAGAATGAAAACCCATCCATCAAGGAAAACTCCTGGCCCCGGTGGTATCACTGGTGAATTCTGCCAAACACTCAGGGAAGAAATAACACGTCTGCCACGCGAACCCTGCAGGAAGCGCAAGCCCGTCTGTTCCTGTACGAGGCCGGCAGCCCCGACACTAAAGCCAACAGTAGCCCGAGAACAGACCACAGGTGAGCTTGGCCAGTGTAATCCACTAACCTACGAGAAAGACGTCACAACCGCGCAGGTTTATCCTGGGAAGGGTTCAACTGTCAAAAACCACTCGCTGTAATTCCGTGTGGCATCAGGCTGCAGAAAGAAACTATTTCAGCAAATGCATCTGACAGAATTCAGCATCCCTTCATGACAAAGTCTCAAACTGGGACAGAAGGGGAGGTCCCCAAGCTGAAAGGACGTTTGCAGGAACCCTCACAGCTGCTTTCCACCTGAGGCCGGGAACAAGGCTGTCCCCATCCCTCCTCCTCCACGTCGCACTGGAGGTTCTGGGTGGTGCAACAGGGAAGAAAAATAAAATGCAGACAGCAGAAAGGAAGAAATAAAACCAGCCTACTCAATGTGACTGTCCATGTAGAAAACCCCCCAAAACCTACTAAAAGCTACTGGAGCTAATAAATGCATTTAATAAAGGTGCAGACAAACACAAGATCGATAAGTGCAAGTAGAAAATGCCAGCTCACCTACAGGTCTGCGGGGAGTAGGGAAGGAGACCTTCAGGGTGACGGAGGCACGTGTTATCCCACTGTGGGGGAGGCCTCCTGGACGCAAATGTATGCTTGAAACGCACAGTTAATAAAGATGGTAAATAAGAATGAAAACCCATCCATCAAGGAAAACTCCTGGCCCCGGTGGTATCACTGGTGAATTCTGCCAAACACTCAGGGAAGAAATAACACGTCCGCCACACGAACCCTGCAGGAAGCGCAAGCCTGTCTGTTCCTGTACGAGGCCGGCAGCCCCGACACTAAAGCCAACAGTAGCCCGAGAACAGACCACAGGTGAGCTTGGCCAGTGTAATCCACTAACCTACGAGAAAGACGTCACAACCGCGCAGGTTTATCCTGGGAAGGGTTCAACTGTCAAAAACCACTCGCTGTAATTCCGTGTGGCATCAGGCTGCAGAAAGAAACTATTTCAGCAAATGCATCTGACAGAATTCAGCATCCCTTCATGACAAAGTCTCAAACTGGGACAGAAGGGGAGGTCCCCAAGCTGAAAGGACGTTTGCAGGAACCCTCACAGCTGCTTTCCACCTGAGGCCGGGAACAAGGCTGTCCCCATCCCTCCTCCTCCACGTCGCACTGGAGGTTCTGGGTGGTGCAACAGGCAAGAAAAATAAAATGCAGAGAGCAGAAAGGAAGAAATAAAACCAGCCCACTCAATGTGACTGTCCATGTAGAAAACCCCCCAAAACCTACTAAAAACTACTGGAGCTAATAAATGCATTTAATAAAGGTGCAGACAAACACAAGATCGATAAGTGCAAATAAACCATATTTCTACAGCCCAAACAACTGGAAATGGGAATTTAAAAAGTACCTTTTACAATGCCCAAAATTATGAACTATTCAAACAGAACTCTCATGAAATACGAAGTTAGTTCAACGAGTCTGTGGAAAATGGAACTCCAAAGATAAACGAACACTTCCGTGAACTTGCTGAGGACCCCTCATGAGTGTGAGGTCTGTACAGGGAAAGCTACATGACGATGACAGATGGATCCAGAGGAGACCTAAGTAAAAGAAACACGCGTGTCTGTGGAGCGGCCCACATGTATTCAGTCATCAGCATCTCATTCAAGCTTTCAGCAGAATGGTTTGTAGTAGACAAGCTTATTTTAAATTTACAATCCCCACGCAGATGGTCCGCCAGCCACTGGAGTCACCAGCAGAGACAAAGAGGATGTCTCTCTCCACAAAGCCTATTCCAGACTGACAAGCATCTGCTCTATGATAATTTTGGGGGACCTGATCATCTAGGCAACAAATTAAGAGTAACCAGGAGAAAAGAAATCTAGGGTAGAGGGGGGAGGGAATGGGGGATGGGGAGAGATTGGAAAAGGGGCATAAAGAATAACGATTTGTAACAATATATATGCTAGTAATGCTGATTTGATCAATACAGCAATGTTCAACCCCCAAAATATGTATAATCAATTTTGACTCAATAGATAAATTTAAAAAATAAAAACAACCAACTTGCAGCCAGGGTTACGAGATCCCACGCAGGAGCTACAGGACGGGGCTGAGTTGTGCACTCAGGCGAGGCCAGGACACCGTGCTGTCTGCCTCCCATCCTGACCACCTCATTGCCCTGTGCTCCCACGTCCCACACTCACCCCTCGTCCCACGGCTCGCCCGCAGCCTTCTCGGCCACCAGGATGTCGTACTCCTCGGCAGCGTACTTCTCCCAGTCTGACAGCTCGGGGCCGTCGCTCTCGCTCTCCTGGAGGAAGCACATGTGTTGCAGGCGTGGCACAGGTGGCAGCGGTGAGCCCGTGTGCCCTGCCACACTCACCCTGAACAGTGAGACCTGCTCTTTCTGCTTGTGGTCAAGGTACTTCTCAATGTTGAAGAACGTGTCAAAGAAGACGTTGGCGAACTTACACTGCTTCAGGTCATGGAGCGTGATCTTCCCTGTGGAAGACGGAGCATTTCAAAGACAAAATGAGCCTGGCTGCGTGTGCAGAGGTCTGTACTGTGTGTGCTGGCACGTGTGATAAACTGCCCTCGAGGAGGCAGCACAGCACTGTGTTCTGACACACTCTGACGTGAGGAACAGACATACGAGGTGGTTCTGGGCATGGCCTGAAGTGTGGAAGGCCACAGGCACAGAGGAGAGCTGTGGGGTCCTGTGCGGCAGGGTGGATGACGGGGTGCAGAGACAGAACAGGGAGATGCAGGCCACCAGGGAGCGTCCCTGGATCTGAGATGACAGGGATCTGCTCCAGGACCCGAGCTCCTCAAGGGGTCATTAAACACGAGTAGAAAATCAGGGTTAGGAAGAACCGGCTGCAGGTGGCCTGTGCCCGCTGCCTCAGAACGATTTCTAAAGTTAAACATCCCCAGACCTGGATTCCAAAACACTGAGCACAAAACGGATGGAGGCAGCAGCTGACAGAAAGTTCCCTACAGACCCTTTGACCTTCAAGGGAGTTTGGGGAGGAGTAGGGGTTGAGGCTGGGACATGCCACAGACTGCGTCAACACAGACTGGATGACCAGGCCTGGAACCACAGTCCCTCACAAGGGGAGGTACACTCACTTGAGATGTCTCCTCACCCAAATGCCTGCTCACGGTGGGATGTCCCCTCAGGTGACCCCTCACCCAGGGAAGTCCTCCCGAGCATTCCCTCACACTGGATGTCCCCTCACCACAGACACCTCCTCCCCCGTGACGTCCCCTTGCAGGGGTGTTACCTTCATTCTGGGGCTTGACCAGGTCCAGCATCTGGCAGAGGCAGTCCTCAAAGGGCAGGGCCTCGATGGCCATGCTATCCAGCCTGCGGCACTGTTCCTCGTAGAAATACTCCAGCTCGAACATGGACAACGCCCCGTCCCCGTCCAGGTCCATGCAGCGGAACCAGTACTCTATGCTGAGACCGCGGCGGACCTGTCAGCCAGACCGCCAAAGACGCGTCAACACAGACTGGATGACCAGGCCTGGAACGACGGTCCCTTACAAGGGGAGGTACACTCACTTGAGATGTCTCCTCACCTGAATGCCTGCTCACGGTGGGATGTCCCCTCAGGTGACCCCTCACCCAGGGAGGTCCTCCCAAGTATTCCCTCACACTGGATGTCCCCTCACCACAGACACCTCCTCCCCCGTGACGTCCCCTTGCAGGGGTGTTACCTTCATTCTGGGGCTTGACCAGGTCCAGCATCTGGCAGAGGCAGTCCTCAAAGGGCAGGGCCTCGATGGCCATGCTATCCAGCCTGCGGCACTGTTCCTCGTAGAAATACTCCAGCTCGAACATGGACAACGCCCCGTCCCCGTCCAGGTCCATGCAGCGGAACCAGTACTCTATGCTGAGACCGCGGCGGACCTGTCAGCCAGACCGCCAAAGACACCCTTCCCCAGGTGGACCCCACCCAGGTCACCCCCACCAGGCCAACCCTGCCTGGGACTGACCGTTGGGCAGGCAATGCACACATGGGGTGACTGCTGAGCACACGCTTCCAACTCCTACGAGGAGTCCCTGAACATCTACCTGGTTGGGGTTTTTTTGTCCTCTTCAGAGATCAAAAACCAGACAAAGTCCGCGTAGCTAATCTTGCCTGCCTTCTGTACTTTTCTGCCTCTGGATTCAGGCGCAGCATGCAGACACAGATGCATGTTGGGGAGAAAAGCATGGAGCAGTGGGGTCCCTTCCAACATGCTCGGGCATGGGCACCCACAGTCCCTCCCCACTTGGTTGCTCCTGCAAGGGCCAGGGCAGAGGCTCCACCGTTCTCCAGGGACGTCTGGAGCAGCCAACCAGTCACTGCCACAGTCCCCAAGGCCTCAGACACTCCTCCTCCGGGGCTCGCTCAAATGCCAGTGCCTGAGGAGGACACCAACCTGGGGCCTGGGCTGTGCACCCACCCTTACTTAAGACCTCACCTGACAATGACGTGTGTGTCCCCTATATTAGGATCTTGAGTATCACTCCTTATTGAGAACCTTGTGTGATAGATGCGTGTTCCCCTTAGGACTGCATGACACACGTGCACTGCCCCTTACATGGAACCTTGAGTGACAGGTGTGTCCCCCCTTCTCGTGACCTTGTGTGACAGTCCTGTCAGAACACCAGCAGCTCACATTAGGGAGGAAATGAGAGAGATCTGGCCTCTTGGAAGTGAACTGCTGGAGTCAAAGGAGGGGGTGCTGGGTGGAGGCTGGGCTGTGCATACCTGGTCACAGCTCCCGAGAATATCCTGTCGACCATCCTCGTAGAAATGGCTGCAAAGGAAGAAACGGGCTCGTGAGCAGCCTGCCTGGTGGCCTCAGTCCATGTCACACCCTGTGGGGCAGAGCCTTGGCGGGGTTGGGTCTGAAGTGGAGAGGAGGCCTGGGACTGGGCAGGGGACCTGATGCCCCCTTACAGGCTCCCCAGGCGCTCAATGACATTCCAGTCCTGGAGGGTTGAGCCCCAAGTCAAAGCCACAGAGTGAAAAGCCAACCAGGGCTCTGAGACAGGTTTGCGAAGAGCGCAGCAAACGCATGTTCACAGCTTATGCTCCGGTGCAAATGCGCCCACCCTGACCGCGACTGTGAACACAGAAGCACCTCACGTAAAACCTGACTGACAGGAGGTGATCGTGAGAAGTGGAGCCTCGGCTGGGGGCTTCCAGTCCAGGCAACACCGCCTGGGTACTGGGACAGCAGACGTTCATCTCTCCAGTCCTGAGGTTGAAGTCTGAGATCAAGGAGTGGCAGGGCTGGTTCCTCCTGAGGCCTCTCTCCTTGGCTTGTAGACCCCGTCTTCTCCCTGTGTCCTCACGTGGTTGTCCCTCTGTGTGTATCTGTGTCATTTCCTCTTCTTATAGGGACACCAGTGAGATTGGAATGGGCCCCACCCTAGTGATCTCATGTTAACTTAATCATCTATTTAAAGACCCTGTCTCCAAACAGTCATATTTGAGGTCCTGGGGGTTAAGATTTCGACCCAGCAAATTTGGGGAACAAAATTCAGTCCACAGTATGCCCAGAAGATGGGGAAATAAAGTCTCTTTGCCCACACCCCAGTTCATCCTGCCTCAAAGTCAGCCCCATGACAAATGACTGGATGGTGTTATGAGTTGAATGGTGTCCCCGCAAAAAGGTGTGTCCCCGCAAAAAGGTATGTGCCCATCATGATCCCTGGTACCTGAAAACGGTGCCTTATTTGGAAATAGAATCTTTACAAGAAATTAAGGATCTCAAGATGAGATCATCCTGGGTTAGGTTATACCCTAAATCCAATGACAAGTGTCCTTAGAAGAGATGGACACAGAGGAGAAGCCACATGAAGATGGAGGCAGAGACTGGAGTGATGCGGCCTCAAGCCCTGGGACGCCTGGAGCCACCAGGAGCTGGGAGAGGCAGGAAGGATCCTCCCCTGGAGCCTCTGGAGGGAGCACGGCCCTGCCACTCCTTGACCTCAGACTTCTGCCTCCAGAGCTGGGAGAGGGAAGTTTCTGCTGTTGGCAGCTGCCTGGTTTATGCTAATTTATTCTGGAAACCCTGGGGACTTAGTCCAGCTGACTTGGACCTCTCTAGTCTGCTGATCTTTGGAAACACGCCCTTGTAGAGCTGCACCAGAGTCAGCCCTGACCAGCACCGCCTTTTCATTTTACGACAAGGATGATCTGCTACGTGCCTATAAAATCCTCCAGATTTCTCAGGGAGGAGGGTGGAAGTGGCATGTGAAAGGGAAGAAACAAATTAAAGCATGCTTTGGCCTTCAGAGATCATTCCAGAAGCCCCGTGTGCTGTTCGGATGTGAGGCTGTGAGTGGGTGTGGCAGCAGCTCACAGGAACATGGGAAGTGGGAGCTGGGAGGGAGCTTGACAGTGACAGCGGGCCCCTGGTGCTGGCGTGCTTTCCGCCCTGCAGACCGGGTGCTCAGCCGTGTTCTCACTGAAGGTGTGGCATGGGGGTCGGTCTGTGGAGCATGCTGAATTCAGCGCAGACAAGGCGAGGGGCCGCATCTGCTTGTGTGTCCACCCACATGTCCCAGCACCATGGTCCGCTGCGGCCAAGTCCCAGGGAGAGCCGCAGAGAGTATGACAGGCCCCGCCCCCACAGAGCTCACGTGTGGGGACGCTACAGTCAAGGCTGAACACACCGGCGGCTGCCTGGGAGGATTTAGGAATACTCTCATGAGCAGCTATCTGAAAAATTACACCCAAAGATGCAGTTTTAAGGAAATGCCGTAGGAAAGTCAAAACCCATGGGCACGTGAATTTTAGCATTTCATATACCTTGAAGTTCTGATTACTCCTAAGGGAAGGTGGGAGCAATATTCTTTTATTCAAAAAGTACTATGAACAGTTCCTTTATGCTGAATTTAAATTGTGATTAAGCCACTAGTCACATTTTTAGGATCCCATCTATGACATGAACTGATGAAAACTCATCGCACACCTTGGAAGATGGAAACAAAAACTTATTAAAGAAAAAGGTATCTCCATGTAACATGGTGGGTCTCAGGTTCAGCTATCAGCACAGTCTCAGGACTGGTGGCAGTGCCCCCTGTACTGGCCGCCTCGCAGAGACCTTGTCCACAGTCACACGAGCGTGGAAGCACAGAGCACTGAGCAGGGGAGGGGGAGGAGGCTGGAAGCCAGGAACTGCAAGGAAGGCCAGAAAGAAAACATTCACCTACTAAGCAGGTTCCAAATGGGCGAGCAGATGTGCACCTGTGTGGACAGGTGTCCACCTGGCTGTGTAGGTGTTCACTGGGGGGCAGTGACTGTGTGCTCAGAGTGAGGGGGAAGCCTGTCGAGGAAAGCCAGAGGGCTATACCCAGAGACTGCCAAATTAGGGCTTGCCCATCCAGCTTGGCATGAACCTGAAGGGTGGGGGTCCCCAAACTCCTCAGGAACAAACTAAGGCCTGGGGTAGAAGCAGTGTGAGGTACACAGGGCAGGTGAGGATAGGTCAGGTCTTGTGAAGCATCTGTGCTGGGGC